CAAATAACACTGTGAGCATACCTCCATGATAGCAAGCTTCCAATTCATTCCTCACCAATGAATTTCTCCATATATATGAATCATGAGATGCACCTGCAAACCTGGCATTGATATTAAGAATTTTTAGATCATGATCACAAACCTGGAAATTATAGAATTATATTTAAATATAATCAATCAACCTTACAATTTGTATATTTTTGGAATGGTAACCCTTTCTGTTCAAATAGTTATGCTCTTCCAAAGTTGGCCTTAGTATTTCCACATGTGTGCAATCAATTGCTCCGATTACCCCAGGGAAACCTCTTGCTTCCATGAACCTTTGCTTAATTACATGTTTTTCTAATGCTGTTCTTGGAAAATGTACCAGTTGTTCAGAAAATGTACTGATAATAGCATTAGTTATTTCATGAATAGCCCTTGAAATGCTCTGCTGAAACATTGAAATGTCATAGCTCCTGCCTATCACTCTTTGGTAAGTGCCAGTAGCATAAAAATGAAGCGTAGCAAAAAACTTCAGGATAACAGCTACTGCTACAGGATTCGGCACCTGGTTCAAATGAGGTATGATACCATTTAAAACATATTGGGCCATGTCTTTATTCAGCCTGAACAATTCTTTGAATCTCACATCCTCAAGTGAAAAAGGATCACTTTGATTTCTCATCAATCTCCTCTCCATATTTTCGATGCAGATATCATCTAGCCTTTCCTCTTCTTCAACTGCCAATATCGCAGCTATGTTTATAGGTACTAGAGCCATTATCTTTCAACAGTGAAATATGCAATCAAAAACTAAGACCAAAGTTTCAAACATAATATATAAAACACTGCCACAGGTGATAGGTTAATTACAGTCAATGTCAAAAGAGCCAATGCGATACAAACATAAACCTAACAAATTAAAAATTACTAGATATTACTAAAAAATTATGAGATTCTTTCATCTTAGGCCCGTATCGTCAGTCGTGCCTATAATTGTAGGGCTCGTTTATGGCCTTCTTGATTTCGATAATATTACGTCTTCTTCGTTGACGTACATGTATGACCTCCTTTTGATTCCGACATCTGACAGTTCTGGCTTGAGGTTATGTTGTTGTTTTGACGTTCAATGGAAAGCAGAACCATAATTTATAATTTTCTTCCAAATAATGTTGATCATTCAAAAATGCCTCGCTACATTGAACAAATTCCACAACCTGTGGTATCTTCAAGAAATTGTTGAGTTAGGAAAATTAATGCACATGGATATATTACACTATAATATATTTGTGTGTATGAAAGTCCAGAAGCTTACAAGCTATTCTCTTGATGGAGGTTGGTAAGTTACAAAACAAATCATTGCATATCCATATCCATATATCCGCATTATTTTCAGGTGTGATTCATTATCACAGACTTTATGAGAAGTTGGTTCCTCAGTAAAATGTATGTTTACTTTGGAAGGATAAGGAGGTGAATGATCTTTCTAAGAAGGAATTTATGCATCCAGGCATAATTGAAGGAATCTTACAGAAACAGAACGTGAATTTGATTTATGTGACCGATATGTGCTACACTGCAATTTGTTAATTAAAGCCTGGCATAAACCTGTATGATCATAGTCCTAATGATAAGAATGAACACTTACGAAGACAAGCTGTGCTAAGCAAGTATGTATAATGTGTAAAGGTTCTGAAATTGAGTCCATGGTAAATTGACAATCATGATTTCAGGATATTAAAAAGAGCATGGGCATGTAGGAGCACCAATTATGAGACATTACAAGGTGTAAATGGGAAAATGGAGTTGCAGCATGAAGTTAAATTCTTCATTAGTTTGTACCATCATGGCAGAAAATTCCACAACTAATTACAAGAAAACTGTGGGAATCAATTCCCTGTATAAAAGTCCAGAAGCTTACAACCAAGCTGTTTTCTTGATGAAGGTTGGTAAGTTACAAAACAAATCATCGGATATTCATATTATATTCTTATTGCATTATTTTCAGGTGTAATTCATTCAAACAGACTTTACGAGAAGTTGGTTCCTCCATGGATAACAAACATATCCCGAATGCAATTGCACTGTTGATGTCAAGATGCCTGTTCACAAATCATTACTGGACTCTATGTGAAGTGTCAAGCTACAAATATGTACAATGAGGATGCTTGAAATACCATGTCCATGTAGGATTACCATATATGAAGTATTACAAGGAGTAAACACAGTTGTAGCATGAATTTAAATCAGAAAAACTTCATGACATAAAATTCCACAAATGGAAAAATACAAGAAAATTCTGACCCATCCAGGGAATCACTTTCCTGTTAAACAAGTTTCAGACACTTCAAAGGTCTAGATAAGCAGAAAAGACCCAATATTTTGAAAAGTGTACCTCAAAGTCAGGCTACGTTGAGCCCCAATAAGTGAGATAATAACGTAATTGTGTTTCAGATAATTTGTCTTGTATTGTACCATATGCGACTTAACATAACTTATAAAGTTAAGTAAATTTGCTGATCATTACAGGTAGGTCTTACCTGGCTCTGAGATACAAAATTTCATTTGAATTTAAACTTCTAGGTATAAATTGTGGTTTTAAATTATTATTTATAATTGAGACTCCAGCTACTGAGGATACCAAAAAAATACATCAGTGGCAATAAGATCGATGCACTGAGCCTCAAAGAACAGTATGTTGTACTTTTTAAATGTTTTGCACCATATATTAGTATTCTAGCATATTGTATAAGGAAAAAAAGTAAGGAAACTTAAATTTTTCAATCATTTTATTAAGAAATTCAAATCTCAATACAGAAAGTTTTTAATTGATTTGGAACCCCAACTTAAAAGGGAAAATCTATCAAAAGTATGGCATGTGAAAGGAAAGCGTTTTTGGGTTGAAAAATAAATATCTTGAATTAAACTGGTTTGATATTTGAAACACTCATAAGAAAAGCAGACTTTGTTAGTTATGATAGAAACAGCAGAAAAACCTTTGGCTCAAAAGTGTGCATTTCTCTTGTAATACTAGGAGCTGCAATTCAGTGTGTTTCCTAATTGTACATGAGTGACGAGGCATTTCTTTAATTTCCACCAGTGTTGCTATTAAGGAATTTCACCTGCTTATTTTTAATCACATCTAAGCAAATTTAATCACTTGAATGTTTTTCAATCTGATGTACGATTTTCATAAAAATAAAAACTGTCTCTGAACAATATCACCATGCAGCGAAATAGTTTCGATTTTTTGGGTGGAAATCATGGGTCTGACTGAAAAAAATTCTTTTCAAAGATACTGTTTATTAGTGACATTGTGATACTAACGATATTAGGATCATGCAAAGGAACAGTATTTTAATTTCATAAAATTTGCTCAGAAATCACTGATGATTTTAAGAGCAATTTTGATTTTAAGAGAAATCAGTTGCCTACTATCATTGTCTGCCAAAATAGGCAAGTGAAATTCGTACGAACGCCACTGGTGGGAATTCAAAGAATGTTGCATTAAAAATACCTCTTGATGTACATCTATGCCAAACTTTGATAAAGTATTTAAAGTGGTATTCCAGATCTATACAAAAATTTTTATTGATTTTTGTAATGTTTACTACTCTGTTTTTCAAAGGCCAAGACATTTAGGATATACGTCATATGAAATATTCTTCTTAAAATGGACTCAAAGTTGCCCCCTTAAATATAGACATTCAATTGGAAAACACTCTGTATATTTTATGAAAGTAAATTAAAGAAATAATAAAGGTTATTGTGATACACTGTTGTTTTTCATTTTTGATATATTGGTTTTTTGGCTACATATCCATAACTCCTGTAATTAGTTGTACCTTTTGGATATAAAGTCATCATTGGATTGGTGGTACTTACGTTTTGACATACTACGTTTGAGTTCATTAACAATTTCATGTATTATACTTTTCAGATGGCAGGTATATAATAGGTTCTTTCAGAAATATATGGAAATACAGATTTCATGAATTTGTAATTCGTCTTTTTTCTTAAAACGAATGTTTCATCGAGTGTTTCATCATGATGTTAACAATATTGTATGCTACTTTCAAAATTAGAAGCTCTACAAACAAAACACTGAGTGGACGTTTGTTTGTTTAATTTAAATGTATCGACTCCTCTTTTCCTCTAATAACGTGCCTTACACTAGAATTATTCTGTCCTGCAACAGTATCTTTTAATCTCGGCTTTTCAGGATGGGATGTATCTTTGAGCAATGCAAGTAGACCTGAAAAAATACCATTAAAAGGGTGATTTCTTACACTTTACTCCTTAGCACCGATGCAACCATAAGTGTTGAAATATGTATTTCATATAGTCTTTCGTTACACCACTGGAATTTTATTTTTGTCATTATCATTTGCTACTGTGCTTCCATTGTGTGAAGTATTTAATTACTCAGGACAATTGTTGACCAAAGGTGGTCAATAACGAAGAAAAAGGTAATGATTTTCTAGCAATACTCCAACTTTATCATATACGCCATTCAGTTGAATGGTTAAGAAATCTCAAACACATGGCCTTAGCTTTGTGAAAATCGTCGAATAAAAATGTCGATTACAATATTCAAGAATGCACTTTATCGAGTTCCGTAAGACATTTCAGCTATCCAACAGCAACATTAACCATTCGGGAACCAATTGCCTAAGCATAACAAAGTTCATCTTGAGCTCCATAACTTTAAAACTCTTATGATTATACATACAGGCTTATGCATTCCTCAAACTAACAAATTCTACTGTAACAATATCGAACACAACAGGCAAACTCACGTGATTCAAAATGGTGTGGTTACTACAGGATTCTCTTTTTCAGCGGTGCTAGGATGCTTCCATGTGCCTGAAGATCATTCAGCTCTCTGTCGTTCTTAATTTACTTCTGTTGGCAATATCAGGATTAACTTTTTTGCAATATATCAATCCCTCACATTATTTTTACCAATGTTTACACCTTGATCACAATATAGGTTAGCCTTGGTTAAGCTGTTAATTCTAAATATTCAACTGTTCTGTGTTTGAATCGATTCTAGGCTTTGTTTTTGCCCTGACGCTCACTGCATCATTTTTCTTATTTCCAATCACATTGTTGTATTGTTTACCATGGTCTGCAGCTGAAGCTTTTATTTTTGACGAATATTTTTCTTTTGTAGTTTGCATTATCAACAGGAACTAAAAACCACAGAATACAGAACATACAAATATTTGAAATTGACAGTTTGAAGTTTTGATATGATACATTTTCATGACAGCTTTCCATTCAAAAAAAAAACTCTTTCTGCTTATATCAATATATATATATATATATATCCCCACAAGCCTAATATTGTAAAACAAGGCGAGCACCTGAAATATCAGTCCTATTCAGTGTTTGACATTCCTTAAGCAGGGAATTGATTCCCACAGTTTTCTTGTAATTAGTTGTGGAATTTTCTGCCATGATGGTACAAAGTAATGAATAATTTAACTTCATGCTGCAACTCCATTTTCCCATTTACACCTTGTAATGTCTCATAATTGGTGCGCCTACATGCCCATGCTCTTTTTAATATCCTGAAATCATGATTGTCAATTTACCATAGAATCAATTTCAGAACCTTTACACATTATACATACTTGCTTAGCACAACTTGTCTTCGTAAGTGTCCATTCTTATCATTAGGACTATGATCATACAGGTTTATGCCAGGATTTAATTAACAAATTGCAGTGTAGCACATATCGGTCACATAAATCAAATTCACGTTCTGTTTCTGTAAGGTTGCTTCAATTATGCCTGGATGCATAAATTCCTTCTTAGAAAGATCGTTCACCTCCTTATCCTTCCAAAGTAAACGTACATTTTACTGAGGATCCAACTTCTCATAAAGTCTGTGATAATGAATCACACCTGAAAATAATGCGATAAGTGTATAATATGGATATGCAATGATTTGTTTTGTAACTTACCAACCTCCATCAAGAGAATAGCTTGTAAGCTTCTGGACTTTCATACACACAAATATATTATAGTGTAATATATCCATGTGCATTAATTTTCCTAACTCAACAATTTTTTGAAGATACCACAGGTTGTGGAATTTGTTCAATGTAGCGAGGCATTTTTGATTGATCAACATTATTTGCAAGAAAATTATAAATTATGGTTCTGCGTTCCATTGAACGTGAAAACAACAACATAACCACAAGCCAGAACTGTCAGATGTCGGAATCAAAAGGAGGCCATACATGTACGTCAACGAAGAAGACGTAATATTATCGAAATCAAGAAGGCCAAAAACGAGCCCTACAATTATTGTAGGGACGACTGACGATACGGGCCTTAGGCCCATGTATGTCCTCCTTTTGATTTCCGACATCTGACAGTTTTGGTTCGAGGTTGTTTTGACGTTAAAGTCACATGACAGCAGAATCATAATTTATAATTTTCTTGCAAATAATTATCGATCACTCAAAAATACCTCGCTACATTGAACAAATTCCACAACATGTGGTATCTTCAAGAAATTGTTGAGTTAGGAAAATTAATGCACATGGATATATTATACTATAATATATTTGTGTGTATGAAAGTCCAGAACCTAACAACCAAGCTTGATGGAGGTTGGTAAGTTACAAAACAAATCATTGCATATCCATATTATATACTTATCGCATTATTTTCAGGTGTGATTCATCATCACAGACTTTATGAGAAGTTGGTTCCTCAGTAAAATGTATGTTTACTTTGGAAGGATAAGGAGGTGAATGATCTTTCTAAGAAGGAATTTATGCATCCAGGCATAATTGAAGGAATCTTACAGAAACAGAACGTGAATTTGATTTATGTGACCGATATGTGCTACACTGCAATTTGTTAATTAAAGCCTGGCATAAACCTGTATGATCATAGTCCTAATGATAAGAATCAACACTTACGAAGACAAGCTGTGCTAAGCAAGTATGTATAATGTGTAAAGGTTCTGAAATTGAGTCCATGGTAAATTGACAATCATGATTTCAGGATATTAAAAAGAGCATGGGCATGTAGGAGCAACAATTAAGAGACATTACAAGGTGTAAATGGGAAAATGGAGTTGCAGCATGAAGTTAAATTCTTCATTGCTTTGTACCATTATGGCAGAAAATTCTACAACTAATTACAAGAAAACTGTGGGAATCAATTCCCTGTATAAAAGTCCAGAAGCTTACAACCAAGCTGTTCTCTTGATGAAGGTTGGTAAGTTACAAAACAAATCATGGGATAATCATATTATATACGTATTGCATTATTTTCAGCTACAAATATGTACAATGTGTGTATGTGAAGATTGTAATTACCATTTGTCATTGTTATTTCAGGATGCTTGGAATACCATATCCATGTAGGATTACCTAATATGAAGTATTACAGGGAGTAAACACAGTTGTAGCATGAATTTAAATCAGAAAAACAGAAATTCAAATCTCAATACTAAAAGTTGTTAATTGATTTGGAACCCTAACTTAAAATTGAAAATCTATCAAAAGTATGGCATTTGAAAGGAAAGCATTTTCGGGTTGAAAAAGTAATATCAATAATTAAACTGGTTTGATATTTGAAACACTCATATGAAAAGCAGACTTTGTTAGTTATGATAGAAACATCAAAAAAGTTTTTGGCTCAAAAGTGTGCATTTACCTCTTGTAATACTAGGAGCTGCAATTCAGTGTGTTTCCTAATTGTACATGAGTGACAAGGCATTTCTTTAATTTCCACCAGTGATGCTATTAAGGAATCTCACCTGCTTATTTATGCCACTGATGTCTCTTTTATTAAAATTTTTATTCACTTGAATGTTTTTCAATCTGATGTAGGGTTTTCATAAAAACTGTCTCTGAATATTGTTAATATGACAATATCACGATGCAGCGAAATAGTTTCTATTTTTTGGGTGGAAATCATAGGTCTGACTAAAAAAAATTCTTTTAAAAAATACTGTTTATTTATACAAAGTGACACTGTGATACTAACGATATTAGGATCATGCAAAGAAACAGTATTTTAATTTCATAAAATTTGCTCAGAAATCACTGATGATTTTAAGAGCAATTTTGATTTTAAGAGAAATCAGTTGCCTACTATCATTGTCTGCCAAAATAGGCAAGTGAAATTCGTACGAACGCCACTGGTGGGAATTCAAAGAATGTTGCATTAAAAATACCTCTTGATGTACATCTATGCCAAACTTTGATAAAGTATTTGAAGTGGTATTCCAGATCTTTACAAAAAATTTTATTAACTTTTGAAGAGTTTACCACTCTGTTTCTCAAAGGTCAAGAGATTTAGGATATACGTCATATGAAATATTCTTAAAATGGACTCAAAGTTACCCCCTTAAATATAGACATTCAATTGGAAAACAACCTGTATATTTTATGTAAGTAAATTAAAAATGAATAAAGGTTATTTTGATCCACTGTTGTAGTTTTTCATTTTTGATATATTGTATTTTGGCTACATATTCATAATTCCTGTAATTAGTTGTACCTTTTGGATTGGTGATACTTACGTTTTGACATACTACGTATGAGTTCATTAACAATTTCATGTATTATACTTTTCAGATGGCAAGTATTTGTGGAATGTAAATAAAAGCATCATTGGTAAAATCAATATTTATTTAGAAATATAATAGGTTCTTTCAGAAATATATGGAACTACAGATTTCATCAATTTGTCATTCTTCTTTCCTCTTAAAACAAATGTTTCATCATGATGTTAACAATATTGTATGCTACTTTCAAAATTAGAAGCTCTACAAACAAAACACTGTGTGGACAAACAATTTAAATATGTATCAACTCTTCTTTTCCCTCTAATAACGTGCCTTACACTAGAATTATTCTGTCCTGCAACAGTATCTTGTAATCTCGGCTTCTCAGGATGGGATGTATCTTTGAGCAATGCAAGTATATCTGAAAAAATACCATTAAAAGGGTGATTTCTTACATTTTACTCCTTAGCACCGATGCAACCATAAGTGTTGAAATATGTATTTCATATAGTCTTTCGTTACACCACTGGAATTTTATTTTTATCATTATCATTTGCTACTGTGCTTCCATTGTGTGAAGTATTTAATTACTCAGGACAATTGTTGACCAAAGGTGGTCTATAACGAAGAAAAATGTAATGATTTTCTAGCAATACTCCAACTTTATCATATACAATATTCAGTTGAATGGTTAAGAAATCTCAAACACATGGCCTTAGCTTTGTGAAAATCGTCGAATAAAAATGTCGATTACAATATTCAAGAATGCACTTTATCGAGTTCCAGCTAACCAACATGCAACATTAACCATTCAAGAACCAATTGCCTAAGCATAACAAAGTTCATCTTGAGCTCCATAACTTTAAAACTCTTATGATTATACATACAGGCTTAAGCATTCCTTAAACTAACAAATTCTACTGTAACAATATTGAACACAAAAGGCAAACTCATGTGTTTCAAAATGGTGTGGTTACTACAGGATTCTCTTTTTCAGCGGTGCTAGGATGCTTCCATGTGCGTGAATGTGTAAATTCCTTCTTATGAAGATCATTCAGCTCTCTATCGTTCTTAGTTTGCTTCTGTTGGCAATATCAGGATTTTTACCAATGTTTACACCTTGATCACAATATAGGTTGGCCTTGGTTAAGCTGTCAATTCTAAATATTCAACTGTTCTGTGTTTGAATCGATTCTAGGCTTTGTTTTTGCCCTGAGGCTCACTGCATTATTTTTCTTATTTCCATTCACATTGTTGTATTGTTTATCATGGTCAGCAGCTGAAGCTTTTATTTTTGATGAATATTTTTCTTTTGTAGTCTACATTATCAACAGGAACTAAAAACCACAATTTAAACACATATTATATACACAGAACATTAAAATATTTGAAATTGACAGTTTGAAGTTTTGATATGATACATTTTCATGACAGCTTCCCATTTAAAAAAAAACTTTTTCTGCTTATATCAATATATATATATATATAAGTTATATACCAGTCTATAGCGAAGAATATGCTGAACAAGGACTTTTGCCTCCACGTTCCTTTCTTATCAGTTTCAGTATTGTATTTCATTTGTTCTTTACTTTGGTTTGTATAATGAACTTTGCAGTCAGTCTCGATTCAGAACTCATTCAATTAACATCATTGTAT